GGGTTTTGAATCAAGTGGACGGAGCACACACCCATTTGTCCCTATTCAGATGTTCTCCCGGGGTTTTGAATCAAGTGGACGGAGCACACATCCATTTGTCCCAATTCAGATGTACCACCGCCATAAACTCATCTTCCACAAATGAGTGTCCATTCCTGCATCCCTGGTTAAACTGTATGAAAGTACCTTCTATTCAATTACAATTTTTAAAAGTTAGATAGGAATAGGGTAAAAATTACCTTCGGGCTCTTCTCTTTTCCTTTCCCAAAGCTAGGACTAGATTATTGAGCAGTTAAGCTACTGCCCGCCTTCCCAGGTTAATGTTTGCTGGGTCAAAGAAAGAATACTTTAGTGGCGCTTGGGTGGCTCAGTCAGTTAAGCATCTGCCTTTGGCTCAGGTCATGATCCCAGGGTCCTGGGTTGGAGTCCAGCATCCAGCTCCCTGCTCGGCAGGGAGCCTGCTGCTCCCCCCTGCTTGTGCTCTCTCTGACAAGTAAATAAAAAGAAAGAAAGAAAACTTTAGCTAACTACCACAGAGAGTATCAGTAGTTGGTCAAACATGCAAACAAGAAAAGCTTCTAGCTAAGGCTGCAATAGGAGACGTTATGTCCAGTACGCCGCGCTGGCCACAGCCGGCTGAGACAGGCTCCGGCTATCTCAAGCTGAAATCTCTGTTCAGTAAACTGAACCATTTCTTTGTTTTGGAGCGCTCTTTAGAGGGGTTTTTCTCAAACACCATTAAATTCCTAGCACCATTTTTTGGGAAAATTCCAACTCTACTCAAGTCCCAAGAATGACAGGCCAACACAGTCAGGGAGATCTGTGTCCTTAGCAGTCACTAGTGTCTGGGCAACATCTCAGCCTGAGATCCAGGGAAGGGATTATAACCTTGCAAAAACGCCAGTGTCACGGAGAGCAGTGCCTGGGGATCGCTTCCCACTTTGCACTCCTCTTTAGGCCATACCCTCTAGCCAGACTAAACCTGGGGACCACTTCTCTGCTGCGTTATAAACACAATGCTAATAACCACAGCCATCGTTATTGAATATCTTATATGTCAGGCATTGCTATACATTTTCCACATTAAGGATTTTATTTAATCCTTACAACCCTATGAAATAGGTACCATTAGCCACATTTCACAATTGAGAAAAGACAACCTCAGAGAGGAAAAGTGACTTTTCCTAGTCACACAGCTACAAAGTCTGCAAACTAAAGTCTCCCTGAGGGAACCCATGATCTTTCCTCTAAGTACTACAAAAGCCAGACACTATTTCCCAAAGGCTGTTGAAAAATATTAGCAGGTGGTACTGTCGAAATTCTGCACATTCAGAATAAATGTACGATTTTCCTGCAAAGGAAACACAAACTTCCCACCTATTTTTTTTTAAGTGTTTCCTGAGTGGAAATGTCTATACAAATTAAGGATTCCAAAAGATTCTCCCTATATTTAAGATAGGTACCATAGCCTCTCTCCTAAATTTTCTCTTACTCAGGAGTTATTTTCTCTTTACCTCATTTGCACAGCTGCAAAGAGAGGTAAAATATAGTAGAGTAATTGCTTCTGGAACTTCGGAAAGCTTTCCAAGTTTCTGTTATATATTTAATTCTGGATAAGTTCTTTCGAATTTACTTGTGTTTCCTTTTCAGTCTGCAGTCTTAAACTGGAATCACAGTCTCTAAACTTCTGTGACCTCTTAAATCTTTGTTCCCCAAATGTCTGCCTTTCACAGACTCTTATTTCCCATTCTCTTTAAAGGTACAGTATGGAAAATAAGCTCATCACAGACTTATGAAACGTGGAATTTAAAAGGAATCTTAGAAGCCATTCCTCATTTCATACGAATTAATTGAGCCCACGACCACAAACTTGGCAAAGGCAAAGCCAAGACCACAATTCATGCCTTTCAACTTTTTTCACTACCTGAGGAAGATGAATCTAGAAGCTGTAGGACAGTCCCAACACTGTTCTGCTACTCTTGCCCAGGAGCAACAATGCTGAACACTGCAAATGCTTTACATGAACTTAACACCTGGAAAGACGCTAAAATCCAGAGCTACATTAACCTTCCAAGCAAATGAAGTGCACCCGTCCCTACAAACGTGAGCCAACCTGGCGTGTCCCAGGAGCAATTCGGAGTACAGTGTGCCCTCTCCCAGAGTAGGAAGCTCTCGGGGACCCGGGCTGCGCACTCTGAATAAACCGCGAGGGGGAGGGACGCAGAGGCAGGAAAAACACACCGTGGGGGCCGGGGCGCACACGCTGAGATGCCACCCACACGGGCCTCACACTTGGGACCTGTGACGCTGGGACAGAAGTCACCCCTCGCCACCAAGTGATGAGGCCCTGGAGACGGCGCCCCTGCTGGAAGAGCGCGACCCAGCCCCGGAACCTCGCGCCCCCGGGAGCCGGGCTCCGCACGCGAACCGGGGAGCAGCGGCAGCCCCCGAGCACGCCCGGCCGCGTCGGCGCTCTCCCGGGCCGCAATCCGACCGCAGTCCCAGCCCCGGCCGAGGCCGACCGGAGGCGCAGCACCGGCTGCGGCCGGGCAGGGAGTCCCACGCCGACCGGTTCCGGACGCCGCGGCGAAAGGGGCGCGGGCCGGCAGAGGGGCGACCCGGAGCAGGCACGGAGCTGCCAGAGCGACCGCGGCCCGGTGGTCAGACACTTACCGGGCGGCTGCGGCTCCGCCAGTCCTGCTACTGCGCCCCGCTGCAACCGAAGCCGGCAGCCACGGGAGCTGGAAAAAAGGCTTCTGAGCAGCGGGGGCGGCTCA